GTGTATCTTTGTGCCTTTCCTGGATCTCCCTCTGGAGACCAGGCTGGCCTTGAACTCACAAACTTCTGCCTGCCTCTGCCTCTCGAGTGCTGGGATTAAAGGCATGTGCACCACCAATGCCTGGCTGAGGCATTCCTTTTATTAAGATGCCTGATTGTGGAATCTGGTCTTTAGGGGTTAGCTGTTCCTGCTTTGACCTAGAAGGACTACCCCTAGTGAGGCTTCTGGTAACTACAACTCCTACATATGATGTGACCCTGGGTCGGGGCTGAGATGGGAACCCTTAACACAGAAGATCTATGTGGGCCAGCCCTTTTGTTTCTTTGTGATCCTGGATGCTGAAAGTCAGAGTTCTGTAGAGAATCCTGTTGGAATACACCTCACCTTTCCCAGATCCCTATCTAACCCCTTTACTGGCTGTAAGTTATCCCAAAATAAACCTCCTTTTAACTACATGGAGTTGCCAAATTAAATCTCCACAATACTGGTCTCTCACAGTCATTGATACATGTTGGTACCCCTATCCCCAATCACAAACATTCACAAGCCTGTCACATACCTCAGAAAAAGATGGGAACAATACATTTTTAAAACAGGATTGAAAGGACCAAGGTGAATAAGGGTCTTTACTCAAAATTGGCTTCTCTTTGTATTGAGTTGTCTCTCTTAGAGCCTTAGCTGAGTGTGAAACTGACTGTGACAACTGTCTGCTCATTCAGTTACAGGACAACTGAGTGAAATCCAGAGAGTCCACATACAGCCCCTCTGAACCAGCCCTGTAACTGCTCTGCATAGAGCTCCTTGAACTGACCTTCAAGTGCATGGGAGTCACTCCAGCCTCTGCCCTGCAGGCAGATTCTCAGAAGCATGTTGAGCTCAGGACATGTTCTATTTCCTCTAAGCTACTCCATGGTGTAGGTTTTTCAGGCTGTGCATTGTTAAAGGAGACTTTCCTTTATAAGGCAGTCTAGATTGCATTTTGAGGAGATGTCACCAACCTTTGATCCACTGGACTGAGCCCATAAGTGTACCAAAATGATTCTTTCTTTAACAGTTCTGTGCTGTATTTTCAAAAAGGTTAAACACAGAAGAACAGGAAGGTTTTCATTTTTCAATCCTTACCGGCATAGAGTGAATGTTCTATTGAGGTCTGCTCCTACTCTCCTACTAATTATCCTTGTTATCATTTCAGCTACTTGTGGTGGTAATCTAATTGTACTGAATTATTATTTTGATTGTATGTTAATAAATAAAGTTGTCCGGGGGTCAGAGCTATTAGAGCCATA